GCTGTCCTGTCAAGACTTACCCCACATATAAATGTTTTCTCCTGTTTTCCTGAATCATAACTCACAAGTTTGACTTTTTTTATAGTCTCACAAAGCCAATAGCCACGCAGTGCGTTTCCGAGTGTGTCAGCTGATCAACAAGTTGCTGGGCAGTATGGCAGAGAACGCCCAGATTGATGATGACCTCTTTGATCGCATCCATCAAGCCATGCTGGTCCGCGTCACTGACAAATTCCCCAATGTGAGGATTCAGGCTTCTTTGGCTATGACTCGTCTGCAGCAACCACGAGATCCCGACTGCCCCACCATTAATGGTAGTCTTTTCTCCTTCAAGCTTTACAACATAACACATGTGTTAAGCTGAGTCTTTAAACCTTTGACACATCAAATAAGTATATTAATAAACAAGGTCTGTGTTGTTTTGTCTCATGATGTTATGTTTCTCTTACTTTTTTGTTTTTTTACTCTTTTCAGCCTACATGTTAATTCTGGACAATGACTCCAACGCCGAAGTGCGACGTGCCGTCCTGTCCTGCATTGCAATGTCACCACGGACTCTCCCAAAAGTACTGAAGCGTACCAGAGACATCAAAGAGAATGTCCGCAAGTTAGCTTATCAGGTTAGCCACTGATCAATCTATAAAAGGAAATTCACACATCTTTAGAAGATGTACACTTCAGAAACTGCCCTTACTTGGTTAAAAGATTCTATTAATGAATTTCAAATGTTTTTGGTTGTAAGGTAATAGCAGAAAAGGTTCACATCAAAGCTCTGACCATTGCCCAAAGGGTCAGTTTGCTGCAGCAGGGACTCCAGGATGCTTCAAGTAATTTTTTGTGTTATACACTAATATTTAAACATTTTTTATTACTAAAAACATTATGAAATTATAATTTCACTTTCAATGTACATCGTTGTCTGTGTGGATTGCAGAAGTGGTGAAGGAGGTGGTTTGCTCTCGCCTCTTGCCTGCTTGGCTGCAGCTGTTGGACGGTAACATTATAGAGTTGCTCCACAAGCTGGATGTTGAAAACTGTGCCCAAACAGCTCTGGACACACTGACGGCCATCTTCAATGGACAAACTCCTGAACAACTGCTGCAGGACGGACTGCAGCTGGACTCAAGGTACACCGTGCTACCAAATGTTATATCAATTCTGTGTCATAACTAATGTAATATCTGTGTATAATATTTAATATGGATGCCGTTTAACAGGAAACTGATCCCAGTGGAGTCTCTGACCTGTGAGAATGTGCTTTACTGGAGAGCTTTGTGTGAGTTCTTCAAGAATAAAGGAGATGAAGGTGAAGAAATGCTGGAGCAGGTTTTAGCAGATGCTGCCACCTACGCTGACTATCTCCACGGGTGAGGCCAAGAGTTTGACTTTATTTGCTGTTAACTGTCAAATATATGTTAGCTTAGTGAAGTGAGAAAGCTAAAAGTTATTTTTAAGACTTGCCATGTTGCATCTGCATCACTAAACTGTTGAATAAATTCCCTGACTGCAGCTGGTGCCACATTATAATATTCAATATTGATGCAATTTATCATACTTGTTTCATTACCTGTTTCTAACATATGTAAATTACAATTCTGTTTTTATTTGTTTTGCCATGCTTAGTACACAGGTATTAAAAAAAAAACCAGGAAGTCTACTTTCTCTAATTTTATATGGGTCAGGATTTTAACAGGTGAATTAACATGAGACTCTAATGGCCATTGTACCTGCAGTTGTCTGAAGATATGGTCTGAGGAGCTCTGTGTGTAGGTAACTGTGTGGTTAACACCAGGCTTATGTAACTGCTAAGACAATGTGGCTAATTAATAGCCTAACCACACAATGACATTGATTCCCATTACTGTTCAACAGGTGAAATAATCTCTACTGGTGGTTTTGCTTCTTCGGGTCCCCTGGGCTATTATTTATTCACTTAGTGTTGAAGTGTTTGCTAAAGCTTACCTGTAAAAAAGCATTTATCATGGTCGCACTCATATCCAATGCTGCTGCTTCACATTGTTTTCTAATTTTGATAGTGTCTAATTTTAGTGAGTTTTGATGTTGAGCCAACACAGGATGTTTGTAGATAAAAACCCAAGGACTTACCCACAATCCTCTCTGTGCGTTGCTTTACTTTAATGTTTCTTTTGAGGTTGTCTTTAAAATCGTTATCATCTATTGGCATTACTAAAGCAGCACACTTTGATGTATGTTGTTTATTTCTACCATAAATGATGAAATGGAGGTGTGCAAAGTTTAGCCAGTGTGATGCTTGGAACTAACAAGGTTGTGTGTGTGCGTGTGGTGACTGCTTGTGTGTAGAAATACCATAGAGATTGATTTCCTGCCGCAGTGCATTTTTAATATATCCTTGTGGTACTGCTGCTGACATTACGCTCAGTTTTGTCTGTGCCAGCACTGATAGCTTCAGTGAAAGACACAGCCGCTGTCTGACTGTGATCTGTGATTGTTCCAGATACCTGAAGACAGTTCCTGTGCTGTCAGAGGAACACAGGGCCGACTTCAACCATCTGGAGCTGGTCATGACCAAGGAGTTTATCTCTCAGCACCTCATCCATCTCATTGGATGTCTGGATACAAATGAAGAGGGCGGCAGGTAGGGGTGAAAGAAAATATTGATTCATTGAAATATTATGATATTTTATTTCCTAATACTGAATCGATATTTTATAGTACTGTATCCATTTTATGATATTTTATTTCCTAATACTGAATCAATATTCTATAGTACTGTATCAATTTTTTTATTAATAATTAACATGTAAATATTCATAGTGTTGGTTCATTTTCTTTCTTTTTTTGGTTTCTGCAGGAAGCGCGTGCTGGCTGTTCTTCAGGAGATGTTGGCTCTTCCACAGACGCCCTCCTCTTTTGTTTCATCACTCACTGAGAAACTCCTCAATCTTGTCCTTGACGACAACAGACGCATTCAGACTGTAAGTTGTTTCTTCCACTGTTCCACATGTACAATGGTACAACAGTGGTGGTGATGTCAGAGTGGGTGTTGGTCTGTGAGGTAACAGCAAGCGATAACCACCAACTAATATATAATAAACAATAATTATTTGTTGCATCGTTTGTAAAATATAAAGGTATTTCTAAAAGGTGAAGTTAGTTATTTTGGTTTGTATGCAATTTAATTTGGTTACCAGCTGTCCATTAATAATAAATAATCATTTAAGAGACTGATGTCTAATGTGACTCCCTGATCCACAGGTGGCAGAAGTCATCTCAGATGTCCGGGAGCCCATCATGGACACCGTTCAGCCAGTGGATGAGAACATGAGTCGGAGGCAGCAGGTCCAGGTGCGTAAAATCTTTTACAACCAACGGAGTCAGACGTAGTTCCATTTTACGTCGACACAGAAATGCTTTTATTTTAATTATGGCTTTAGAAATGACCGTGTTCTTCCCTCTCCTTCAGCTCGCTGAGGTAAAGGTGCAAATCATGGAGGCCAAACAAACCCTAGAGGACTACATCACTGCTCAGGACTTCAGTCGTGCTGCAGAACTGAAGGACTCCATGATGGAGCTGGAGAACCGCAGGAACCAGATCCTACAGGAAATTGCAGAGAGCAATCAGCCGGCCGACAAAGAAACCCACACTGAGAAGGTTGAAAGCCTCACTGGATGCACATGAAGTGTGTTTGTTTCAATAGCAGCTTTCTGGACTCCTTTTTTTCCCCTTCTCTCTTTCAGAATGACCCAGAGACTCTATTGAGATGTTTAACAATGTGTGCTGAGCTGCTGAAGCAGATGAACATCAAGACTCGCATTGGTCCAACCATAAGTGCCTTAATGTCCTCACTGGTACACAACAACCACATCTTTCAGTATTTCTCACTACTGTCTAATTACATCACATCTAATTACATCAATCATCAGGTTCAAAACAAATCAGCTACAATTGTTTTATTTATTATATATTTTAGTCTTCTTGTTGATCATGGTATTGTATCTTCGTTATCATTTACAGATTCTTCTAAGATGTCAGTTTGTTTTTGTTGTTCCATGTCAACGTTAATTAAACACTGCTTCTCTGCCAGGTTCTGCCCAGTATCGCTAATGCTCATCCTGGGGTCCGTAACATGGCGGTGGTGTGTCTGGGAACATGTACTCTGCACAGCAAAGAACTGGCTAAAACCCACATGGTCCTGCTGCTACAGGTAAACATGCTTCATTTGTAGACCGGTCCAGGTTGGAATGGACTGGGTTAGAACCTTTTTTTCTGGCCTTTAGTCCGACCATTGTGATCCTGTGTTCCAGATTGCACAGCTGGATGAAGTAAAGATCCGCATCAGTGCTCTTCGGGCCATCGTCGACCTGCTGCTGCTGTTTGGTTTCCAGCTGCTCTCCGAAACGGCAGCCACTCAGACGACTCCGCCCCCTCGGTCACCTGACCGGCAGGAGGAGGACACGACACCTGTGGCCGAGGGGAAGACGGATGCACCAGAGGACACGGCACAAAGTGTCCTGGTGATGCTGTATGAGTTCCTGGACAGTGAGGTGAGCGCTCCTACACCTTGTAACAAAAAAAGATGCTTGAAGCGACTTTAAAAGGAAAGTTGTTGTCGACTAGTTATGGTTCCTTAAACGCCCTGGTTGAACATCCACGTGTTTAAATTACCGCTGTTTCAAGGTGTCAGAATTCTTTCAGATCCTGAATGATCTTTCCTCCAGGTATCTGAGTTGCGGACAGAAACAGCAGAGGGTCTCGCCAAACTCATGTACACCGGCCGCATCTCCAGCGCCAAGATTTTCTCCCGCCTGGTGTTGCTGTGGTACAACCCTGTCACAGAGGACGACACGCGCCTACGACACTGCCTTGGCGTCTTCTTCCAACTCTACGCCCGAGAGAGCAGGTCTCACTGCTTAAGAAGAGCACAACCTTATAGTGTGCTTTTATTAATGTGAACTGAACATAATGAACATCCTGCCCTGATGGTCTGTAGTAACATTTAAGACTGTGTCTGTGATTTACCAGGGTCCACCAGGAAGTCGTGGAGGAGAGTTTCCTCCCCACTCTGAGGACGCTGCTGAACGCCCCGTCTACCTCTCCACTCGCTGAGGTGGACGCTAACAGTGTGGTGGAGCTGATGGTGGAGCTGACTCGACCAAGTGTCCTCATTAAACCCTCCACTAACACAGAGGTGAGAGACTGGTACACCTGCACTGGTCAAACGCTGTTGTCTTTACAGGTTAGTTGAGGCCTCAGGGTTTTAGACGGACTCTCTCCTCAGTCTTCACACAGTAAACCTGGGGTTTTTTAAGCTAAGATATTAGGAGTAGACACTAGATGAAATACTAGAGGAGGAGCTACTTCTCTTACAGGCTGTAGTAGAAAATTGCGGCCACGTAACGACAAAGACAGAGTAATTAACAGCACATGATGCTGTAGATCAGATTAGCCTTCTATTCCCAGATTTGTAATCTTAGATTACAGAAACCATCTGTTCACACACACACACACACACTGTCCATTAATGTAAAACAGGTTCATGTCCGCAGCCACACTTGTCAGCAGGAGAAACTGATTAAACCTGTTGGATGTGAATCTCTAGGAGGTTTTCGTCCATGACTATTTGGCGGTGCGTCTGTGTGGGGAGATGCTGAAGGACCCCACGGCCCCCGAGATCCGTCTCTATGCCAAGACCTTAAGCAACCTGGAGCTGAGCACAGATGATACGGTCAAGAAAGACCTGCAGACGCTGCTGCAGCAGCTTTTAGAGGTAGCAAGTCTTGAGAACAAAAGAACACAGACCATGTGTATAAATCTGCAGAGATAAGTGAACGAACTAGACTTTTATTTTGTAAAGCTCTTGGTCATTCAGTTTACATCTCCTTTTTTTTTTTTTTTCCTTCTCTCAATTTTTCAGGAGGTTAGAGATCGCGTTTGTCTCCGGTCTCTAGAAAAGATGATGAATCAACTGGTGGACTCAAAAGAACAGACTGAACTCCTCAGTGCCAGTGCTTTACAGCCAGTGGACTTCAACACTGATGGTAGAGAACTTAGATTCCGGCCGCCTTTTATTGTCCAAGTGTTGTCTTAGTGTTGATCAGTGGATTCAGGTGTGTCTCTCCCACCTTCTTGGTGTCGGCCAATCACTGTTCTCTCTGCCCTGTTTCCACAGAGGCTGCAACAGAAGATCTTTGTAAGTCAGCAAAGAGAGGTAAAAGAGGTAAGGCAGCGTCTGTGTTCCTCCTCCACAACCGTAGACATTGATAGCACTGTTGTATTTTTAGAACTCTTCTAGTCTACAGAAGAAAAAGCTGTTGACTCAGCACCGTGACGTAACCTGAGTGTTTGTGCACAGGTCAGAGGAAAGTGTGCACAGCTAAAGGAAAAAAGACGAGCAGCAAGACGGCGTCTTCAGAGGAGAGGTGGGTCTTCAGACGAACTCATCTGTGTGTGACGGCCGTCGCTGTCATTCAGTTTCATACTGAATGACATCACATTTTTGTTTCTGCTGCAGTGATGGAGAAAACGTTCCAGTGGTGCGTCCGTCACGCAGAGCTAAAACTGCAGCTCTGGAGAAAACAAAGCTGGATCTGAACACACTCATTAACAAGGAATCAAATGTGTCGTGAACGAAAACAGCATTTCTTTGGACCAGTTATAGGTGCTTCATTTAAATATATCTTATTCTTTCTTAAATATAAATGTTGTAAAAACCTTGTCATGTCCTGTCATTTAGATTTCAAACATTAATAAAGATTTTTGTTTTAAAAAAAACTATACGGCCAGTGTTTGAGGTTTTTTGTTTGGTATAAACACAGTAAAGACAAACAGGAAAAAGACAAACACAGTAAGACTGTCAAAATAAAAGTGGGTGTAAAGCTTTTTTGTGAAAATTATTTTTTAATTATTATTAATTAAACAGATTAATATATTTCAAGTATTTTATATCCAATTAACCCCATACATTTGCTATTTTAGAATATTTAATTATTATAATGAAATAAAATTATTTTGAAAAGGTTTAGTTTTTCAAACTGTGTTTAATTATCAGATAAATGTAAAACACCTGCAGAGGTTTCCTGACTGGTTCAGTAGACTACACCTGGACAGTCAGTCATTGTTACCCTGCACAAGGAAAGACAAAAAGGTCGTTGCTGAAGAAGCTGGCTGTTCACAGGGTGGATGGAAAAAAAAGGTGTAAAAGAGAAAAGCCTAAAAAACAACAGGGACGACAGCAGCCTCGAGAGAAAGGTAAGACCAAGTCCATTCAAAAAATGAATCTGTAACAAAAACATTTCACTTCTTGAACAGAATTAGTGAAGTCAATGAATTAACTGTTGACATTCCAATTTACTGATATGCAGCTGTAGGTATTTTTGGGTGAATATTTGCCTTTATTTAAATAATTTAAATTAAAATAATCAAATTATGTATTAACAATTTGGGCTTAAAACTGACTTGGCCAAGCTTACTGAAAGGGTTATTAAGTTGAGTCCACAATACTGTCATGAAATAACTTTATTCAGTACTGTTTTAATACTTGATATAAGAGTGCGTTTAAAGCCAAACTGCGTCTTAAACTAAATCAACATCGATCCTGTTGCCCTTTTTCTGAAATGACTTTAAACACGTTACTTATCTTTACCATGATTTATTAATACGAGACCCGTTCTGAAGACATTTGACGTTAATCACAATTACACTAACGCCACCTAGTGGCAACTGCAAATCTTGCAGACGTTGTCTTTGTCCTTTGTATTTAAAAAAACGTATGTGTGCAAAGTAAAATACTTTAGGAGTAGGAGAGTACGTGTAATTAGAAAAGGGATTCAAACTATTAGCAAAACAGCACAGTGGCATCACAGGAAATTATGTCATTAATTCTTTCCCATCCACACCCTGGCTGTTACTATTGGTCTCTCTGATAGTTTTTTTTTTTTTAAACTTCCTGTCTGCTAAAGATAACCCAGCAGCTGACAACAAGACATGACGCGCTCTCATAGTTAAAAAAACAAACCCTTTATTGTTCCAATGACAGATGACTGTTCTGAACAGTATAAAAACACAGCAAAAAACAAAAAACCACAACACATGTTTAGCACCAGGTTCTTCAACAGAGGGTTAGTCCTCCCAAGACTGAGCCCCTCTCGCTGTCCTCCTGTTGAAATGGCAACCATAGTGACAGACACACAAATGTAGTCGGGCACACAATACACACTACAGGTTTAAGTTTCGATCAACAATCAGACACCACGGGTTTAACATGAAAAGGATCCAAGATTAGTGTTTAATAATGATCAACTCTGGCCTTGTCTCTGACACGACGAGCCAGAGAACAGTCGGCCCAGCGTGGCCCAAGCCTCAGGTGAGGTAGTCGTCAGGTTACAAAAGAGCTTGACGGGAACCTTTTAGTTTTTTTTTGTTGTTTTTTTTTAAATTGCAGAAATGTATTAACAAAGTTTTAATTTTTTCTGTTTCCTTAAGAGGAATAAATAAAAGTGGTGGTTAAGGCTGAGTTTAGAGAAAAAGGTCATAGAAGGAGTGAAGGAGTGACTGCCCAGGCTGAGTTTACATCCATTCATCTGTCAGCGATTAAATAATTTCTACATACTGATAAATTATCTGGATTCGTATTGCACCGCTAGTAATAATCTCTTTGTTGACAGACGGGTGGTGGCGGCGGTGGTGGTGGTGGTGGGACGTGCAAAATATGTCGGGAAAGTTTCTGTGTAGTGGGATTAACAATCTGTGATGATATAGTGCAAAGTCTGGCACAATCATAAGATGCTTTTAATGCTATAGAAGGGAGGTGTACATGTGAAATGCCAGGAGTCACACTAGAGTGGTGTCCAAGTCCTGGCTCAGTGGCCACTTTCTGCCATCGAACGTCTGGCTACGGCCCATGACTAGATAACTCAATAACAAGTTTGCCCTCGAATAAATATTCAATCGTTTTGTTTTTTTTCAATTACTGAAATGGTTTAGATGGTTATTTAGGTGAAAGGATTCAAAGACATTCGGCGATCAGGTCTGTTTCTGGGAATCTGATAATTGCTGCTGTCAAAGTATTTTAAACAGATATTTGTCCGCTGTGTTCGTTGTACAACCACCATCTCGGGAAAATGTTAACAGAAACCATGTACATGTCCGTAAAAAAGCAGAACAACACATTTACAGACTGGGGTCACATTAAAAAACATTGAAGTGCTAACTGAAAGAAAACAGTGCAAGAGAAAATCTAATAAAACTGTACAACAGTAAATGTTCTCAGTTTGGAAAAAAAGAGTTGGGATAAAAAGTTCACTTAACTTAAATGTTTGGGGTCTGTAAAAAAAAAGAAAGAAAATCCTTCATTCAAAGTATACTTTTGGTCAGGGATGTGTACTGTCAACACAGAATCTTACGTTTTTTAAACCTAAAATAGAGAAAAAGAATATTAAATAAGAAACTCAAAAAGTAATCTACATAAATTCACCTTTAAATAAAAGCACAATTGCTGAGGGTTATTACAAAAATTAATTTAAGTGAGATCATTTTTTAATTAATTCTTCTTTAAAGTGTTGGGTTTAGATTAAAACATTGGGATGTGGGGTGTGTATGGGGGCAGGCACTAGCTCAATGCAGTCCCATTAAAGTGATACTGACTAAACCTGTCGACGAGAGTAAAAAAAACTTAGCATTCTGCACACATGGATAAAAACAAAATAGTGCAACATCAGGCTTTCTTTAAGTTAGACTGCTACATAAATGCTGAGTTGTAAGACTGAACCACAGTGGACGGGTCAGTCCACACAGTCGGATCAATGTCAAAAAGGCACCGCGTTCAACCACAGTCCCCTTTGTGGGAAGGAGGAGGCCTCAAGTTGCAGCTAGTTTTCTGTCAAAAAAAGCGACTGAGCTTTCATAAATGAACGTGTCTTGGAATATACAAAAAAAAAAAGAAAAAGCAAGTTAATTACCAACAACAAAGTCACACCATTTTGGCCCAGTGAAACTCCTTATTCGTGATTGTCTCAACTTTTTCGCTGGTGGTGGTTGTGCTGTATCAGTAGATAAACTCTCTGGACTTTTGTGTTTGCCTTTCCGCCGCCTCGGGGACACGGCATCCTGCTCGGCGACCGATTCAAGTGCAGAACCTGTCAGTTCTCTGGAGGAAGTCCTTCTTTTTGGACTTGTTTTTTCCA